GGATTGTTGGGGGCAAGAGGCTGACTCTGTAAACCGCTTAGAGAGGGCTGAAAGCCCTATGAAGCGGTATATAAGTCTAACTGCTATTGCTATTGTACGAGTGTGTGTCTTCGACACACAAAGCGTGTCTGGTTCAACTCACTTCTTCCCTCTCAGAAGCAAGAGGGGGGACAACGTGGCTAACAGCAAGGAAGCACCAACTGGCCCTCAAGGCATTTTCCTTCTCTGCTCTTGAACCCTCCAGGCCCCCTGAATTACCGTTGTGCCCATCTCGTCTCCTTCAGCATGGATGCAGAAGGCAGAATCGTCCTTGGTCCAGCTTCCGGTGGCGATGCGCACCTTAACTCCGGGCAGCGGAGTCCCAACCGACCCTGGGAAGGAGAAAAGGGAGGGAAAGCGGAAGCTGATGGAAAGAGCCGCGTGGAAGAGACAGGCCCCATGGGGAAGAGCCCAACAGGAAACGAACCAGCAGGTGGGAGCGGCTGAGTCCCAGGCCGTTCGTGCAAGCGCACACCTGAAGGGGAAGGTTCCCTCCTCACCCTCTGGACCACCCTGCGCCAATCAGCAGCCGAGGAAGGCCCCCTCCCCAGCCCCTGATGAGACTGCTGGGCTTGAGCCCGATTCCTCCAAGGGCCATTGCAGAGAGGGAAGGAGGAGTGAGGCTCCTTACAGGACACGGATGGGCCAGTTGCAATGGCGGCTTGTGCTCCAATGGCAGCACAGCAACTTAATTATGGCAAAGGGGGGGGGGGGAGAGAGAGAGAGAGCCCTGTCCACCAGGCTGCCAGCCCCGCCCCGCCCCACCCCACCCCGGGGGAGAGAAACAGGCAGCTTTGAGTCCCCTCCTTCAGTTCTGGGTTGCCAAAAGAGACACCTACATAAAGGAAGCTGGCTTATTGCTCCCCTCCAGCCCCTTCCCCAAATGACAAGCCTTTGTAAGCGGAGGACTCCGAAAGGCTGGGAAATGCAGACAATGTTAATTATAGTGATACCAGTGCGACAGTGCAATTAAAAGCCTTTGTGTGAAGACAATAACTCCCGCTTTTGGGGCCCTGAGTGACATTTAAAGATTAAGTCTGCCTGGGCAAGAGAGGGTCCAATCTGGCTCCTGGGTGATGCAAGGGGAGGGGGAGGGGAGCAGAGAGGACTCAAAAGCACCTCAAGAGTTAAAAAAGAAAGTAAAGCAGCCTTTGTTTCTTTCCCACTTCTGGCATTTAACCACGGAGAAATCGCTGTCCCTGCGAGTGAAGAGCCCTTGGACATTTGTCAAACTGGCTCTCCCCCGTCATCCCGAGACAGGCAGCTGTCAGCGCCGGGAGTGACCCTATTAGTCGCCCGGTTCCTCCTCTGTTTAAGTTAGTTGTCAGCCTTTCCCCGATACATTTAATTGGCCCTGGGCTCTGTGTCCTTTGGTGTCGGGGGGAACCGGGATGCTGTTATGCATGGCAATGTCCGGGGAGAATTGAACGGGCCCACACTCTTGCTGTCAACAATCCACGGAGCCTCCTCTGTAGGAGCTATTAGCCACCTCTGATCTAAACCTCCAATTAAAGTGGTGATTAGGCCCAGCGAGGCATTCACTGGCCATGAATTATTCATCTCCCTTCACAGTAACAACACCAAGGGGGATTCGAGGGGGAGGGGGAGGGGAGGGCTGCAGGAAACAGAAGCATTTTAAGCAGAGGTTTAACCATCTACCGTCAAAACGTTTCTCTCTCTGTCTCTCGTCTCCTTGCCTCTCAAGCACCCCCAGATCTCAGCACTTTGACAGAAGAAGCACCGGGGGTGAAGGGGGGGGTGGCTTGCTGAGGACCGGAGATGATCGGGGGGCGGGGGGGGGAAAGCGGGGCAAAGGGAGATGCTCCGCAAGGGCAAAATGAGGCATAAGGAAAGAGGGGTTTGGAGAGAAAAGGCAGAGCGAGCGATGATTTGGAAGGCTGAGCCACAAGCCCAGCCAAGGGCCACAAGGCTCTCACTCCAAGGACGGAGGCCGCAGGTCTTGGGGGGTCTCTGCAAAGGATGAGTTGGAAAAAGCCAAGATGGCAGCTGCCATGGCGCGATCGAAGGCTCTGCGCGTGCAGTTAAAAACGGGGGGACCTTTGACTGCACCGGGATGGCTACCATATTTGCTTTTTTACCTACGTCCTCCTCCACTTGGGCCTCTGTCTGCACCCCAGAGAGAAGCCAAGGAAAGCGGAAGCATTGCCCCTCTGCCACCTTTAATGGGCATGGCAGGGCAGGGCCTCTCTCCTGTGGCACGACAAAACAGCGCTCCACTAAAGCGCACCCGATTAAACCGTGTCGCTGACGTCATCAGCAGGGCGACAACAGCGACCGCGGAGAAAGAAGGGCGCTTTAAATAGCGCTTTGAAAGCAAGCCGATTCAAGTTAAGGTAAGGGTTAGGTTTCGGGTTAGGTTTCGGGTTAGGTTTCGGGTTAGGTTTC